CTGCTACTGCTACTGCTACTGCTACTGCTACTGCTACTACTACTACTGCCACTACTACTACTGCTGCTGCTACTACTACTGCTACTACTACTACAGCTACTACTACTACTACTACTACTATAATATACTATCTATCTATCTATCTATCTGTCTGTCTGTCTGTCTGTGTCTGTCTGTGTCTGTCTGTGTCTGTCTGTCTCTGTCTGTCTCTGTCTGTCTCTGTCTGTCTCTATCTGTCTCTGTCTGTCTCTGTCTGTCTCTGTCTGTCTCTGTCTGTCTCTGTCTGTCCGTCTGTCTGTCTGTCCGTCTCTCTCTCTATCTCTCTCTCTCTCTATCTATCTATCTATCTATCTATATACTATTACTATTGCCCAAACGCCATTAAACAACCCTTGGTCTCCCTAGGGACTTGAGAACCCAGACCCCTCGAAAGGATTCGGGACCGAATGTCTCCAAAGGATTTGGGGGCCAGGAACATCTGGGGGGCCAGGCACATATTTTCGTTCACGAGTCCGTCCCCAGCAACAAAATCAGCCGACATCTGGTTACAAGTTCAAGATGGTGTAGTTTTGCCATTTGGGCTTTGCCATGCAACTTGGCTTTCACATGCATGGAGAATCTGTATAGAGATGCTCAAAGACACCAATCCACCCCAATGACGTTGATCTGTGCGCAAAATCACCCAACACCCTGGCTATTCATCAAGAAACAGTGCAAAAATATGTAAAACCTCCTTCAGAAATCTTCAGAACACTTATCCATGACACCCTGGTGGCTGTTGGTGGCTTCCATCCTCCCCTGATCCATACTTCATCCCCAAAAAAAACACAGCTAGATGGATGAAGACGTTCCCCTTCACACCTGTTCTGAACATGGGGGGCCTTGTAGATCTGCAAGTCTGCCTTGCCAAAGGCCTCAACAGCAACAGGACGGCATGTTGCTCACCACAACGCGAGGTGACGTCAGGTGGGGGGCATTGCCGACCGAGGTCTGTCCCTATCTTTTTGGATGTGGGACGGGAGCCATACATGGGACAAAGATACCTCACTTCCAGTCGTTCACAGTTAACCAAAAAAACACAAGCAAAAATTAAGGTGTGTCATCAAAACGACCCGAAGCAGGTGTTCCCTGTATAGCACAACCTTCTTGAAGACCATCTCTCAACCTTCTCAAGATGTATACTACCAATCTCCTGCCCGGTTTAGCTGTGTAGACCAGCAGTCGGTGACCCAGGATGGTGCTGGTGCTGGGCGTTGAAACCACGGGATTCAGCTGCTCTAACCGACGAAGATGCAGCTAGCGACGGCCTGGTTTGCCGGGAGGATGTTTCACTTGGTTGAGCAATTCAATTAATTCAATGCCATATAATAGTTGACTCGGAGATACGGGTTTCACTATGAATTCACCAACATGATACGTCTTCAAGCCTATATGTATCGTCCGGGTTGTGCACCCCACAACGTGTCCCATGATGTTTCTTCTTCACAAACGTGGTCATCCGAACTCAAGTTCACCAAACACCCCAGCAACTCCACAAAGACACCAATCTCTTCCACAATCCAATCTCTTCAATCTCCGAGTTCCCACCGAAACCTCCGGTTTGGACCGAAAAACCAATCAATCTTCCAATCTCATGAGTCACCAGTGGCCGTCCCACAAGCTTGGTAAATCCACATGGATCGCACCCAACACAGACGTGCCGGGCCACTGTGGGAACTTGGACCAAGATGACCTCAGGACACACCTGAGCCGGCTGACCAGGACGTGCCGAGCAGCTTTTCTTGCGACCCTTGGACAACCCTTGGACAGGTGGGGCTATGAGACAGATTTATACATAGTAATCAATGTAGACTCTTGATATCTCTTGATTATATTTGGGTTGTAGGACCTCTTCCCTTTGGGGCATTGAAATTATAATCCAAGATATCCAGAGTCTACATGAATTGTGGAGCTATGGGAACTTCAGTAGATGGACATAAGTCTGATGGCACCGCTGGCCACAGCTTGCAAAGACAGAGATATTTGAGTGATACCTATCGCCCCTTATTTTGCTGTGTGATTCGTGCGCATCGAATCTCAGACTTCCGCATTGAAAGGGGTCGGCCTTCTTCAACAGATAGGTGGACTCTTCAAGACTCCTCTCAATGCCTTGATAGCTTCCAATCCCCTGAGAGTCATTGTTGGACTGCAGGAGTTGCGTTCTTTTTGCTTATGTTTTTAGAAGCAGCTTAGCAATTAAACAAAGCCAAGACAAGGTAAACTGCTGCTAGTCATCATGGTTGCTTGCAATCATACAACAGTTGCAACCACGTATTCTCTTCCAAAACAGTCAATCAAGCAGCTGACCAACAAACCAAACAATTCCAACAACCAAGCTGACCCAAGAAACAACAAAACCAACAACAACCAACTCCCAAAAACGACATCCTATCAAACATCATGTGTGTGCATAAACAAATAATTTGTTCTAAATTAATTTATACATTAAGCATTGTATGCTTATGATAAATTCTTAAAATAACAGTAACACCAATACCATCCAAAACCTACACCCTCGCCACCCCCCTCACCCAACCCCACTTTGCTCGTTTCTTCTGTGGCCTTCTTGGCCTCTGCGCCCGACATCTGCCGGGTGACACCTCGCGCCTCGGAGGGTGCGGTGCATCCAACGGCTCGGAGAGATCCGGAACGGCTAGGAACCAGATGCCCTAGGGATCCAAGTACCTTCTCAGGTACGGTGATTGGAGACACTCTTATGTAGGTTTTGAGGGTCCAGTCGTACCGTCCGACTGGATCCCTATAGGGATGGATCGATCGGGCATCGCCTACGAGTCCAGAGCGATCGGACGCGAGTTCGTCGCGGGGCGCCTCCTGGCATTACGACGGTACGAACGTGACGAAGCTACGAACGTAGCAGTTAGGGCTTTGGAGGCCATTAATCGCTAGCAGGTGGGAGGCCAAAGCTGTCCCAGGTTTGGGGATTGACGCAGTTCGGGAACATAACACATTATCCTGATCAATCAAAACCGGGGATCTGTTTTTCGATGTGGCAGTTGTATTGCATTTTCATAGGGTCCATCCAGGTACCTCCTGGACCCGGATAGTTGATAGTTGAACGGAGGATGGCCCTGGACCTGTAGGGATTGGGGTGGTTTCAGGGACTTTCAGGGTCAATGGGGCGGCATTTGGGGTACGGATGGGGGAGCCCGATCCATGGCCCGATCATGTGAATATGATGATGGACGATCATGTGAATGAAGTTCCAAAGTCGGCGGCACCGACTGAAAGCAAGTCATTGGACTCGGACTGTGGTTTCGGGGTCCAAGTGATGGGCTGGGGGAAAGACTAGTGGTGGGTTGCGGAAAGACTAATGGTAGGCTGCATCGATGTTGACAAACCATGGGACGAACGAACATTTACTCTGACCCTTGAATCCCTTGAAACATCTAAAAGCCATCCCAATGTGCAATGTAGGCAAAATTAGGCAAATACTCCATACAATTTGGCAGACATGTTACGTCATAAAATGCCATACACGATGTGGGTTAGCCGGATCCCAATTTGTTTATCGGGGTTGGAGAGGCCAACATGCATCACGTCTACCCTGGAGTGGGATTTATAAAAAGAGTTAGTTACTTTCGGGGGATCAAATCAGTCATTCAACTGTCTCTTCCGAAGTGTCATTAAGTCTCATTCTTGTTGTTACTGCTTGAAACGTTCAATCTCAAATCATCTCAAATCATTGTGCTGTAGTTCAAATGATCAATAAAATGGTATTGCAATGACAAAACATACAACAATGAGAACAGTTGGCAACAACAAATGCAAGTCCAAGTGTAAAGAATCTATTAAAAGACATATTAAATAGATCCAAGTGGCTCTCGCCTCGTAGGAGACCGCAATGATGCCTCCCATGGGACCTCCCAGCATCTCCAGGAGGAATTCTTGTCCAACTGATATCGATGTGTTAGGTATTTGCTTTCTCAACACAGAAGAAACAAGTGACTGGTCATTTATATACCAAGACATGCCAGCTGCGCATGTTTGCGCGGCAAGGTGTGGATCTAAACACTTGCCCGGCAGGTTTCCCTCTAGGAAAATGTATCGTGGAAACTGGAAACTTCGTGCTTTCAGCCCATTTCTTGGTCTTTGACCATCGAAAAGTTCCTGCAAGGACCGCAAACAGTTGTAACAGTCATGTCTAGCCTGTATAGCAGTGGTTAGATTCAACATACATGCCATTTCCTTCGGGAAAACACGCGGGAAATGCCCTTGACCTGGCTCTCCCTGGCGGTCCATCCCCCATCCCAAAGAGGGATGCGCAAAAGGGTCAGGACGCAACTAAAAGTGTGCGTGGGGTCAGCCCATGACTAACACAAGGAATAAACAGGGCTTGAAGCTTCTAATATGCTTCCAATGTACGAAGCGTCGTCTAAAAATACGTGTGAAGCATTTCAGAAATAGATCATGGTTAATAGCAACCCCAAAAAGCAGAACACGTCATCCATACGTCTAAGCTCAGGACGCACAGCTCATGACACCCCCGTTCTCCACCGGTCATCGGTCACCGCGCATGGAGTACCTCCGGTTCTCCACCGGTCGTCTTCGGGCCGCAGATCGGGACGTCCCCGTTGCCCCGTGGGGTACTGCACCACCTGCGCGGGGCTGGGCTGGGCGACGAGGAACTCCCCACGTCGTGGGGAAGTGGATGGGGTATTGAACACCCCCGGACCTGGACATCCAAGGAGCAAGTACATTCTAACCTTTTCCCAGGCTCAGTTTGGGGTCTCTACCGAAACGGTCGGGTGTCCAGTCACACCTGGAGCTTCCAGTACTGAGAGTGGGACATGACTCCCTCAAAAGCAGGCACCACATTTGACCACATGTTTGGTGGCGGAACATGGCGGAACAAGGGAAGTGGGTCGTACTTTTGTCGGCATAGGTAGCTTTCAGATCCGTTCGTAACACGCATAAAATCTATGATTGAAGTACTTGTACGGACCTTTGACCTCTGGACCGGCCGAGACTTCCAGTCTTACCACAGGATGATACAAACATCAATTTTATTTTATAGATTAGTTGAACCTAATGAGCACAACCACGCAAAATATACATTAATTGCAAAGTAGGGACAAGGTGGTAATGGTTCAAGTGGGCACATGTTGAATCCAACAGAAACTTGTATGATAAGTTCAAAAATCCAATTGATCCTTCTCTGTTTCCAGGTCAATGCCTCGCAACTTCCCGTGAACCACGACGCACATCGGCGTCGACGCGCACCGCGCAAGGCTTCCCCAGAAGGCGGGGGTCGCGCGCTCGCCTCAAAGTGGGAAGACCCATGGAACTGTTGGGATGTCTGGGATGTCTGGAATTGAGGAGAGGGATTGATAGAAACTAATTCATTGGGTCTATCCGAGTCTATCCTATTACTATTACCAGCTAATTATGATAGTTAGTAAAGGCACGTAATGGCTTTGTTCAAAATTAGTGTACAATTGTTTACTGACTGTTACAAGTGGACAGACATGGACAGACCCTGTCCAGAGCTTCTCATCCCTACCATTGCCCCGTGGAATCCTGGAAGCTCACTTTACTGGACATGGATAATTACCCTACACCTCCAAGTACCTCCTCAGAAGGTATTTGGACCCTCCTGGCACCCACCCCAGTCCCACCTTCTGAGGAAGTACTTGGAGGTGTAGGGTTAAGATATACAAATAGATAAAGGCGTGGAACATTGGCGGATATCGACAGACCACGAGTCCGGACAGCGATTCTCCGGCTTTGGAAGGTGGGTTGCGTGAAAAATGCGACGCGACTCACTGACTGGTGCGACTCGTAGGGAATAAGGGAATGAACTCCCAGAGATTCCTGATGGCATCCAGCCACCCTCATTCCTGATGGAGTCGCACAAGTCAGATGATCCCATGCATGTCCATCCTCACCTATGCCTTCACATCTCTCAGAACCGCAGAAACCACAAGCCGCCCGGAGTGATCAACCATTGTTAGAGCGATTCGGTGATGAACATGGTGAAAGCAACATCCCAGGCAGCCCAGGCACCATCGGCCTACTGGTGACATGGAATCACCTGGATCTGGATCTGGTGTGAATGGCAACAAGTGACCACAAGAAACTCCACTCGAAGCATGAAATCCAGCCCTCCAAATGTACTCCCGTATACTAGTATAACTACCTGGAGTCTCTCCCTTCGTGCCTCCGAACATTCACAGGCTGGCACAAGTACCTAATTTAGGGCCTATATAATCTATATAACGTTAGAGTTCCATGATGTTCCATGTTCTTGTCAGTACGACGGGTGCAGTCCAGCCTTTCGTCCCGGTACATCCAGACAGTCCGCGTCGTTGGCTTCCAAGGAGCTCGACCGCAACATAGAAACAATCCATGTCGATAAAGCCCACCACTGGTGGCAATGCTCCTCCGACAGAAGTGTAGGTGAATGATGACACCCCACAGATCCATATATATATATACATATCTTCAATGGATCCACTTCTTAGTGCATGTTGGAGCCCGGAGGTGTGCTGGAATTCTCTTCAACAAGTGTGTGTGTGTGTGTTGATTCTCCTTCAAATTGGTATATAACTTCTAGTCTTCCAGTCGCAGACGTTGCGTCCAGGCCGTCAAAATTTGAGGTCGACCTGCTCCTGTGTCCCCTCACGACGTCAACTCCTCCATTTCACCCCAAACCATCCAGCACATCGAGACCTCCGTCCACGGTCAGTTCGGCTGCTACCCTGGATCTTCGATCTTCAGCAACCCAAAACAAATGCCTTTTCAGGTGCCGAATCAAACAAAAATGAACATCGGCGTATGCTGCAGATCATTCTGGTCTGGGAACTCCACGTTGGCTCCGGTCGAGCGCATCGCGCATCGCGCATCGATCGCGGGCGCATCGTCTCCGGTCACCGCACCTCGTTGAAGAGGTGGCATGGCGTCATGAACGAGAGGAAAAGCAGAACGTTCTGACGAAACCGAGCCGTTTTTGTATCGGAAAATCAAGCTTCGAATTTCATCCGTTTTCGCACATGTTCCTGCTTAGTTGGGTGCTCCCAATTCCCGAAAAAGGTGTTGAAATGATCTCGAACAGTCGGGATGTCCAATGCCAATGCTGGTGTCCAGCACTCAAGCCTGGCCAGCATCCTGACGGCCATGGAGGTCGGAGACCCGCTGGCCATCCTGGACCTTTCCAAAGGGGGAGGTGTTGAGATGAGTGCCTTTTTTTTGGATGGTTGGGTGTCATGATGGAGATGTGCGAAAAGAACCACTCCTTACAAACCTTTGTAGTACGTATACACATTGCAATTCACTTTATAGAACTAACTCAACCCAGTGGATGTCTCCCCTGAAAGAAGAAATAGCATGATCTGCTTTGGAATCCTAAAAGACCTATCAGTGAAGAATGAGAGGTTTGGACTAGTATACGTTATTGCGGATTGCCGGGGTGTAGTTTCCACCCCATCCTCTGAATGTCATGGAACTTCTTGAGCCCTGCATTCTTGAGCAACCAAGGTGGCCACGAAAGAGGGACCATGCATGACGGAGAACAACGGACTCCGACCACGATGGAACAATAGATTCCCAAACCATCCATGTAGGGAATTGGTACGTTACGTAAGGTACATTTACCCCATTTATGATCCTAATGTAGGTAGCTATTCCATACAAGGATTGTCTGGGAATGGGCAAATCGAAACAAAACACACGACTTCTGTGTCTTGGTCCCAAAGAAAGGAGCAAAATGCAAAGGTACAAAGGAATGTAGAGGTCGGCGGTCCAGCCACGTCCTCTTGTGCTTTATTGGGGATCTACATCTACCGGATGGCCACATCCACTACACCTTTTGTTACAGAGATCTTGGCACATCATCTGTTGTTTCATGGAAAAAAAAAGTTGAAGCTAAATGCGACAAAGACCAACAATGACATGGTGGTTCAGCCTGATGGACCAGGGAAAATGACGGCAGGGAGTCCCTACTAACCCAATGAGTCCTTGGAATCACTCAGGAGTTCCACATAGTTCCACTCCCTGAAAGGGTGACGTGAATCAGATAGCTTGAGCCCCACTTGGAGGACACTTGAACATCCGCTCTTGACCAGTCCCAGGTGGTTTGATGCCGGGCACCGGATATCTTCATGGCGCCCCCCCTTGAGTTGGGTGCCAGTCTCAAGCATGAACGGATTCTGATACTTGGACCCTCAAAATGGGGCCTTGGTTTCGGTTGTGTGCCAATTTGCCACAGTACGAGTTCACGACGTGCCGGGTCCAGGTTTGAACCAGGAATCAGGAGCCATCAGGTGCTTTGAAGGAACAGGGACAGACTCTTCTGTGGAACAGAGATATCCCATCACGGCAATGAAATTATTCGCACTTGGGACCGGCCACTCGAGGAACGGGTAAAACCATAAAGCCTCTGGAGCTTTCGACCTAAAACGCTGTTAACAGACAACCTCATCCCCCAGAATCAATTCACTAGAAAGCAACCTTGACCAAAACCCAACCCAACCATATCTTGCAGTGCCCGATGCAAACCCAGCACTCTGCAAACAGGCGACAAATTCTTCCTTTGTCACCCAAGCAAATGTGTGAGAGGCGGACTTGGCCTCATCTCTACTCTTCTGGCTCTCATTGGCGAGACCTGTCCTGCATGTCCTGACTGAGTGAAGCTTGGCACGAGGGCTGATGGACCAGGGATCAAGTTATTAAAATGTCAAGGCTCAACTGGCCTCAAGAATCTGGGCCTTCAAATCCCAACCAATCCTTGTATGAAATAGATACCCATGCAATGCTACCTACATTGGGGTCATACATGCGGTTTATGATGGTAAATATATCAACTATTTTACAATTACATGGATGGTCTGGGATTGGAAAGAAAGAGGCTTTTGCCGGTCCAAATGATTCCTGCGTTTCGGTCTACCGGGGTCCGGATTCCGAAGGCCGTTGGCTCAAGACAGTCGGCCCCGTCTCGGCTTCCGTTGGAGCGCACGATTGGTTTGACGGGTTCTTTTTACCGAACTGTTTGAAGAAGGACTTTAGGCTAGAAAACCCGAACTCACACCCCGACTCTGTGACCAATTGAATATGTCCAAATGGAAGGCTAGGGACTTGGTGGGAAGACTGAGCCAATGGAGCCTTGAGAGGAATGTGCACAAACTATGTCTATCAGTTTCTAGTTCGGATGGTTTATGGATGTTTATGGTGTATGGCTCCCGATCATGTGTGTATACCAACTAATTATTACCAACTATCCAAGAACCCTCCAAGCTGGCTATTGCTAAGCTGCTGGTGATCTCTTGAAACAAACATGTGAGCTCTATGCTTCTTGTCATCTATATTGGTTCAGCTTTCAGGGAACGAGCTCACACCGACCACCGGCAGGACGGCCTGGTGCGCCGGCAGGTACAAAGAAGCCCCGGCACAAGGCCTAGGCCAGTGCAAGTGATGGCATCGAACATCCATTGGAGGGGCGGATCGAACTATTTCGAAGTAGTTGGAAGATCCAGCAAGTTTGGACATGTCGGACGAGTGTCTTCCCGAAACAGTCATGACCGCACCAGTCAACGGATAGAATCTGAGTTGTTCACAGCCTTGCTTGTGGTCACATAGAATCTGAGTCCCATGGAGTCCCCCTTTTCAAACAATCCTTTTTTCAAAAGAGTCTGCCGAAAACCCGTCGCTGTTTGCGCAAGTGCCCATCTGAAGAAAACCCGTTCGGCCTCCAGTCGTATCTTCTCTTGGCAGTAAGGACATCACATTCACATGCATCGACATCGATCCACGTCCGCATCGACCATGCACCAGTCGACGTCAGACGATGAGATGAGTCGACTCATCCAGCGATGGTGAGGGCCTCATTGGGCGTTTGGCCACTACCACTTCTCAAGGCGTTGATGAACAATTGGCCATGTTGCGTACCCTTCTTCGCATGGAGTAGTACCCTCTCAATCTCATGACGGATATGAGACAACTGGCTGGTATAGTCACCATATGGCTTCGATTCCTGTCCATGTTTTGCCAACAAAAGCTGAACAACCCAGTACTCCTGAGCTTTGGGCATGATCCATCACCAGCTGTTGAGGATGCCAGCATGCCAAACTTGCAGTTGGTTATATACACTCCCTAAGACTAACACGGAAGTTGGACAACACCCTGTTTGTAGAGGAAAATGGTCTTCCAAGGGGCCATGTTCCACTTCCATGTTAGTTCCAGTTGGTTATATAAGTACCACGAGTTTCCCCAAAGGCATCGACGTTGCGAAAATCCGTCTTCAGAACCGGACGAAGTTTGAGTGCAGCACACCCACACCATGACCAAGGACACACACAGGTGGAAACTGGACAGGTAATATCGAAAAAACACACAAAAACATCTGAAGTTCTCTGTATTTGTGGTTTCTGGCCACACCCAGATTGTCCAATCCTATCCATTCCTGTCAAAACTGCTCTGGGAGCCCAGGACCAGCTCCAGACTTTGCGGCGATGCCTCAGGCGTTCGGAGTTGGGAAAGCCCTAGTCCTACAGTGCGTCCCTGAGGCTTTCCAGCCCAAAAGCCAAGAGGAGTCGATCAGGAGGGCACCCTCACTGCCAGCGGGTGGACGGAATCGAGAAGGGCCTAAACCGGTCGATCTGGCTGACCTCGAGATCTCTAGTAAGGCCAGGAGCGCCCCGTTCGTAGCGTCCTTGCTCCGTTCGTAGAAATGCTCTTTGTGACGTTCGTAGCGTCCTCTTGTGACGTTCGACCTGGCTGTTGATGTTTTTCCCGCAGTGAGAAAATGCTCTGATGCTCTCTCTGAGTTCCAGCGGTCCGAACTCAATGAACCACTTCCGCCCGGTTCGTTCCGTCCATGACTGACATGATCAAACCCGTGCGATCTGGGATGCCTCCGTGAACAAGAACATCTTCTCTACATAACTTGAAGGAACCACATCACGAATGAATACAAGTAGAATCCGGAACAGTGGTTCCCCTACTTGAAGGAACACTTCTCCACATTACTTGAAACCGCCCCAGTCTCCCGAGACCCCTCGGGTTCACTCCGCGTGGCCGTCACTGGCTCGTGCTCACGTGTGGCACCCACTCCAGCTGCAGCAATCTGAGACGCCACTGCCTCGTTCGGCTTGCGACGACGCTTGGCGCTTTTGGGAGTGGAAATGGTTTTACAGTTTCAATATTAAGTTTTAGCAATCCACCTTCATGAATATATCCCAACAAGAGCACATGTGTATATTTATATATATATATATTGAGCTATTTAAAAATTAGATGGGTAAAACTAAAACGGACATGTATCAACATCAAAAGCAAGGGGACAACACATGTTTCAAATACTGTGTTCAACCATTAGTGTATGATAGAATTACTACGAATCATACAGAAACGATGTTCCCCTATAATAATCTAAATGACAATAAATGAACTTAAATCTTCCAACAGGAAACAACAACCAACGGTTTGTTTCAGTACATGTCTTTGAACCTGATAATGAATTAAATGATGACAAAGTAGTCAAGAACAGAAGTACAAAAGGTTTATGATGATAATGACAATTGTCACTACACAATCATCAAGGCTACTTAATCTTCAAATAAAAAATGCCAACAACCCCAAGGACAGTTGCAGGTATTGCGCTCATCCTGTCATCAGAAAGACTTTGCTAAAAATGGACTTTCGGCAGTAAAAGGACAGCAATACAAACTACCGAAGAAAGGTGAGTATATTAAATTCACCAAGTTCAACACAAAACTCGAATGTCCTTTGAAGTATATGGAGACTTTGACCGTTTCACAGCTACATCTGACAATGGTATTAAAGGGACATACCAGGAGCGTAAACCATGTGGGTCTATGCTGAATGTAGTGATGTCAATTGATAATACATGCAAACCCTGCCCATACAGGGGTAAGGGTTATATGGATAAGTTTGTGGAACAACTATATAACTGAAATCAAAGAAGGTATCATTGACAAAAGGAAAACTAATATAGAAATGGGCACGGCATGAACAAGAAATGGATTTCCACAATGCAACTCGTTACTCAATCTGTAACAAAAAATCTGAAGGAGATGATAGAGTCAAAAACTATTGTCACTTCACAGGTCAATACAGGGGCGCGACATAAAGATTCAAACGTTTTGTTCTCATGTTTTTTGTGAATTAAATTCATACTTTGGGTTGGAACAGATTACACAGATTTGGATATCCAGAGTATAGACTATGATCACAAAATTCAATTGACTTTACGTCATCTGTTGTCTGCTGAGGCAAAACGATTTGTATGTTGTATATAAATATATTATATATATGTATGTATGTATGTATATAGAGTGTGTGCTACTCACACATCTGTCTGTTTATAAGGCTGGCAGCGTTTTGTGCCTGAAACATAGGTACCGGCGGGGGTTGGGTAACATGGCTATGTGTTTGCATCTGTTGTCTGGTTTTGACCCATGCATAAATCACCAACGCAGTCAAAGTCTGAGGGGCAGGTCCTCACACATAGACTTGTGTTTTTCGTTTATGTTTTTGTTTTTGGGTTTACAAATAACGGTGAATAACTCCACTGGATTTGACCCGTGCCTACATTACCAATACCAAAAAACATAAAATGAAACACACAATAAGTAACCAAATGAAACAAAAAACATGTCTATGTCTCAGGACCGGCCCTTCAGACAATAATTTGTTTTTGGATGTTTGTTTTGATTTTGTACTATTGAGTACTGATTTAGGCATGGGTCAAAACCAAACAGCACACAGCAAATGCAAAGGGAATAGCCATGCTAAAACCTTCTGAACACAAACAAACGCCTATAGTGAGATAGTAGTAGAAAACGAAAAACGCACGTCCTGTTCTGAAAAAAAACTGTAATTGTATGGCTAATCCAAAGTTGAGCCGACACGACAATTTGCATATCGGGTTTCCGAACAACCACAGGCAAACACATCAAGTCCACTGCCCTCCGTCGTGTGCAGCCACAACGTCTATCGACCACTGTCCCACTTCAACAAAACATAACAAAACTAGCCGAATCTGGTCGTTGCAGTGAAGCTTTGCTGAGTAGTTGTTCCCCTGAATATCTGGCAGTAGAAGAGATACATTTTTTGGTAGGAACGAGCTCTGAGTCTCTTGTTGATTGAGCACATTGATGACCGCTTGATTGGAAGCTGCGTTTTCGCGACAAAGTCTCAGCTGAAATGGTGATTTTGGTGGATGGAAGTGGAAAGGGATGCTGTCCAGAAAATGCCGAAATCATTCCGAACGTGTGGCGAGGTGCAAACTGAAGCTATAGGAAGATATGACATCGTCACTTTTCATGGCAGGTGCAGGGCTTTGTGCGTGTGGGTGTGTAATTCTCGTGGCAGGTGCAGGGAATCGTGGGGTTGCGAGGTTTGGTGGGCGTGAATGTCTGTGACATTGCGATTGTCGTGTAAGCCTGTGCAGGTGTGGTGTGGGGGGGGCTGGAATCGCGAACTTGCTTGTCGCTTGACTTTTAGAGGATGTCTCGTACGAAGCGCTCGTTTTGGAGGTTTGACGCAGCGGGCACAGATCGCAGTGTGCACTACCAGACCTCAGCAAGCGCCATTTTCACCTTTTTTTGGACACGGTCTCATCATCATGAGCAAGTTCATGAACCAAGGCCTGACAGGTCGGGGGCCAGTCCTAGTCCTATAAGCCCACAAAGAGAGATGGCGGGACCTCAACAACAAATTTAATTTGGGTCATCCACCGGACCCTGATAGTCAACTGGGTTATGCTTTCTAATTATGATACCTCCAAGGCTTGCGAATTTTGGTCATTAGTTGGAAATGTAGTCCACGTCCACTCTTGTCCAGCTGTGCCCCCATCATCCAATGACTGACTACAACGTGATTCTCCTTGTCTGCCTTCTGAAAGTCATGCTGACATGCTGACACGCCAAGAAAGTCGAAAGCCAGTCAACAGCCTGTTTCTCCAGCTCAAAGCCATACAAAAAGTCCGCTTCGGTCAAACCAGCGCTGTTGGCTGGGGTTTGCCACGACAGCGCAAGTCATCGGGCCCTTGTGCAACTCGAGCGCTGCGACCACCATGTTCACCACGTCCGGGGCGATGCACTTTACCACACCTGAACACACGACTTTGTTGCTCCTTGTCTTTCCAGCGACCAAGGGCATCAATGGTCATCTCAAAAGGTGGCCGTGGCTTTCCAAGCCTTGCGTAGCGCGCAGCAGTCAGGCCCAAGCGAAGGGTGTGATGCCGCACGCGCGTTTTACATTTCACCTTGCTAGCATCTTCCTTGACCGTGCTTGTATCTATCTCTCCAGGCACGACCGCTTCTCCCGCCGTCGAACTGTTTGCCGGGAAGGTGACACTCTCTCCACCATCATCATCCACTTGTGTTTCACACGCAACTTCTGCCACCTCGCGCATCGCAGGTGGGAGCGGCGGTGGCTGCTTTGCGTTGCACATTAATGGCAAGATTGCTGGTTGCCGCCATGCTCATGACAACGACTGGCGTTCAGATGCATGGCACACAAGCGTCCCAGGCAAAGAGGACAACACGCATGCAACTCGCTTTCAGCTGTGATGTTCACACACTTCAGCCACACCTCCAGCAAGCGATGGCACCAGTACGAGTGGCTCCTGTCTACAGCAAAACAATCAAACACGTGAGCTCGGAAGCAACAAGTTGACTTTATCGCGCGGCTTTTTTTGGATAACGGCGGCAGGTTGTCCAGTTGTCCACGTTCTCGATCCAGCAGAAACAAAAAAGGAAAACTCACACGGCTGCGAGACACATCCAACCTGTTTAACTCCTAAACCACTTTATGAACCACGTGCAGAGGACAAGCTATAGTTTCTTCTAAGTCGACCCCAAGTTATCAGAACAACCTAATTAATGACTTGTTTCTTGAGCTAGTGTGGTAGGTTTGACATCCCCGAACGATTTCATTCAACGGCTTTCCACCCTCGATCACAATACGTTTGTTTTTTACTATTGAGCCATATCTTGGGGGGGTGGCTATGAGTTGAAAATCATCCAGCTCACCGGCTTACCACACGATATCGACAATATGTTCCCACGACTTTCATACTTGCTACATGGCCAGATTTTTGGCCTTTTTTTAATCTCCTGTGGTTGGCAATGGCTATACGCTGAACACATCTTCCTTTACGCAGCCGCTTGGAGTGCGATGGACTTCCCCCAGCCGCCAGCTGGCGCAGCTCTCCACATCGTGAGGCCACGCCTCCACCGCCACACCTCGTAGGCGCGCGAAGGGTGCCATCAACCACTCCGCTTTAACGGGCGCACGAAAGGCCCAGAGCATCAGCACCGTCCCGCACTCTACTTGCGTGATCAGCACGCGGTCAATTTCACGATCATAAAATCGGTCGCCGGATTCAATTCCAAACTCCAAGACTGAGCGCACATCACATATGCATTCGCCGTCGACATCTGCAGTGTATGCAGATCAGCAGTGCACAAAGCCAATGCCATGACAAACAAACACAAGCGCAATGAAACAATGGAACAGCTCATAATTTGAATCAACTACTGGCGGCGACAGAACCAAGAAACACATCACCAAGCTGAGTTTGATTCTTAAACACTAACAGAAATCCCCCCCACACCCCATATGGGCCGAGGAGCACATAGGTAGAAGGGGATGAATACAGGAAATTTCTAAGTCAGTCCTAAGCTAGTCAATAAACATTCGCGACTATTGAGTAACACCAACTCCACTTTCCATAGCTACTATAGTGAGGTAGGCTTGGACATCACCAAGTGATTACTTTCAATTGCTTTCAATTTTCAAACAACATGCATTGCATCACTTGAAATAGGCCATTTCTTGGAGGCCTTCACAAGGCACTAGGCTCACCACAAGAATCCGAAGACGCGCGTGTGTGCTTCAGGAAATAAGCGCAGGTTCAAGTGCTTCCCCACACCTGAAACCTGCACGTGGTAACGCCGCGCCAAGCGGCGCAGGCATTGCAACTCCTTCACACTCGCGCCACTGCATGTCATAGCACAGTGGAGCCGCCACATTTCCTGCTCAATGCGATCCAACGGACATGCTAATGCGCCCAAGACATCGATCCCCAAGCGCATGGGTTTCTTGCGTAAAGCGTCCAGCGCTTTCTCACATGCCCACCGGGCACGCAACAATGGCACAACTTGTAGTTTTCCAGTTTCGTTGCTTTCGTCCACTGCAAGCACACGCAGCTTTGGCCACTGGCTCATTTTGACAAGCAAAGGAAACGAAAATAGAAGTGGATTGCAACAATCGCAAAGCTTGGTTGGGCTTCTTCCTGCACACCCTGAAGCGAAAAGGTATATATGGCAAATGTTTTAATCCGACTACATGTGTGCACTACAACACGGACGATAGCTTGAAGCATGGGTATAGACTGTCAGATACCTTTGCGGTCGAGCATCCAATATGCGCTACTTTCAGCCGGACAGTCGGCCTTTTCCTTGAATGTAATCAATTAATATTATATGTTGAACATATTTCCCACCGCACAACAGGAAACAACACAAATTTATGTTTGATATATATAATCTAGAGACCTCCACCATGATAAGTTTTTTTGATATACCCCTGCCAAGGTTTTTGAAGGACGTAGCAAAGCATTATCATTAAACATGGCCTCATCCAAGGGCTCTGTAGAATGCAGGTCCTGAAGCAGCAGCAGCAGCAGCGCGACGCGAGGGCGGCGAACCTGCGTCGAGTTTGCAGGCGGGTCCCGCTGGGCCGGCTCGCAGCGCGACCGGCTCGTTGTCCTCCTCTTACTTGGCGTTGTTTAGCGGTTGCGTGGTTGCATTTTGGTTGTCTTTGGTTGTTTGTCTGTGACATTCTTGTCATTGTTTTCGTTGCAGTAGTTGTAGTAACTTTAGTACTCGTCCTCTGGCTCAGTCTCCTGTAACTTGTGGCACAGGGGGGGGTGGCATGCACACAACACTCCTCATCCAAGGGTGTCAAGACCATCTCAGGGATCGCTCTGCCGTCCCGATCAGTTGATGTGATCCAGATACAGTTCAAAAATCATACGCTGCACCTCCGTAGGTGTTGCGGTCATCATGGCTGAAGAGACTTCCTGGCCAGTCGATGTAGGCACAGCGGGCAATTGAGTGGTTTCCCCGGCGCCTCAACATCATCTTCATCAGTCTTCAGTACCTGCACGAGTCCAGATTGAAGCACAATGCTCCACATAAGGCATGAGTGGCCACACCTTCTCTTTGGGAAGGGGTCCTCTTCCTCCATGGCCGACGGCAAGTATAGCCTTCAATTTGGACCCCCGAGGCGGAAAGTCCACGGGTCGAGCACGGGGCATGGGTCATCTGAAATCATAGCAAGACCCTTTGTCCCAACTGTATTGCAGAGCCGTGACGTAACCTGACTTGTTGGTTGGCCTCGTGTCAGCCTCTTGAACCCCTAAGCATCACGTGCCAGCTTCTGATCGTAGCTGGCTGAGAATTCAGCTGCTCTCTGTGAATTCAGTTCTTGTTTTCCCTGTGGACCACTGCGCTTATCTTTGAGCAACATCTCTGCTCTTCCCCGGTGGGCCTTGTCTGTTGAAAGAAGAGCCGATCCTATGTACGGATCCCCCTTGATTGTTCATAGGCGGGTCGATTTTTCATTGTTAAAGCAATTTGTGTTTATCAAACGTGGGGGATAGTTATAACATGAAAAAAACAACTAGTGTATAAAATGACCAGCATGGGTAATGATAGGTTTGCGAATCGGGAATGTCCGTAAGATGCCACATCCGTACCAATTCAAACTTCAGTCCAGAACGTGATCTTTATAAAATGAAAAAGCGTATTAGGACCAGCCTCCGATACCTCGCCAAATAAATTCTTATAAAATACTACTTATGGGTTCATCTGCCCTCTATCACTGTCATTCACTCTCCAAGTTACTGAAATTGATTGAATGACCTGTGTAAATCGATACTCCAGATCTTAGGTAGTAATCCAAAATGGTTTGCCAACATACAGGCCCTTATGTTTATAAAATATCCCTTGGAATTTGCATGTTATAAGAGAAAAGGATCGTCATCTCATGCTTCAGTCATGGGGGATATGTAGGGGGAAAGAAGGTCAGGTGATGAGGCACCACTTGCCGTGGTCTCACTCAGCACACCTAGCCCCCCCAACCGCAGCAATGGGGTTGACACTCATAACTTCCCCGATGCCAAGGTAAGGTAACCCACGTCCATGACTTTTTTCCCAGTCTCTGTCATTTAAACCAATAAAACAATATGTATTAATTTATGAATGGATCAATGATCAATCCAAAAGAACTGTCTCAGCATCACCCGGCAAACCAATCGATCAGGACGACCTTTCTGACTCTTTCGGGCTATTTGGCCTTTCTGCGAGCTCGTCCCAGCTGCAATCGAGCATGCTCCTCCTGGACGCCACTGTCGACTTTTGAATATAAAAGGAACTTGACCAATAGTGAGTCGGTGCACTGGCGATGGTTCTGACCAAATCACCCATGACCATAACCATCAAAAAGATGTGATATGAGCTCCAATGACCGTCCACCAGTGCTTTGTTTAAATCAAATTTTGGAGAAACAACACATGATAAACATACCAAGAGTGGTTGAACAGCCCATCCCACCCCATCCCATCCCATGTGTACTATGATAGGGGTCCAAAAAGTCAGCTTACCCCTGGATCGTGGCGGCAGGGCTCGAGACCCAGACCCGAGGTCAGGGCTGCACGGGACCTATCTACAGAGGAGGTTGACAGTGGACCATGATGGACCAGGGCTCCATCATGTAAGTGCGCCACTGGATGCCATTCCGAAAGGTTCTGTTTGGATGGCCTGATCCAAATGCTTTGCCTCCATCAAGACCGCAACTCCTGCGTCCCAAGGCCCCAAGGCCTTCAGTTTCAACCCCTCTTGGACCCCTGCGCGTTGCGGCGGCCACACACACCGCAGCGGGTTTCGGCGGCCACACCGGCCTTCAGTTTCAAGGTCTCTGTTTCCACCTCCTGGCACTGCCTCGGCGAGTGTCACTTTAGCGCTGAAGAAGAAGTGCCAAGTGCAGTCTGGTGTTGACTCCTGGTGACATGTGATTTGCCTTGACTATCCATCACAAAGACCTCGAATAAGCTTGTCCTTCCAAATGGTCATTGGGAGTGCGCACAGCATTTAAGCGCTCCAGTGATTTCACCGCCCTAGCCTGCAAACATCCTGAACTACCAACTGCAACGTGAACTCTACCAAGGCACAGAAAGTAACTCCAAACCTGGGTCGATTCCTGCAGTTCTTTCGATCGAATTCTATGGAAGCTCTGCCCAGCGGCCGTCGCCGTTCATCCAGTCGCTGGGCGAGCTGGTCCTTCCGCGCGCGCGTCTGCTCCAAGCGCTGCCTCAACGCCGGATGAGGGGCAGGCGGGGGTGAGAGCCGGGCTGAATCTGGAGCATGCCTCTCCGTGGGACACAAACAAGGGTTCTTATAGGATGAAACAAGCTCAAACAAGTTGTATATCTTTTAGCTATTCCACTAGCACCGCCGTGCTATGCAAGTGCGCACCTTTCTTGTCACACATGTGCAACAAATTAAAATAACCTATAATTAGTGTATAATATATAGATCGACCCCCAAAAGAAATAGAAGTTCGTAGATCACTAAAACTGGCTTGGAAACCATGAGACGATCTATTTATTTAGGGAACCACGTAATACATCGTACACTATACCTCGCACATCCTCTCACGGTTGAGTGTAAACACGTGCCCCAAGAGTCTCCACAACGATGGATCAACGAAGCTCCCTGCATGAAGTTCATCACCGCAAATGACATGAGACACTTGGGAGAACCGTTATACCAGTCAGTTTCTATACATGTGATATAGTCTACTATGTATATTATCTATCTGGCGCTTAAGAAGCGATGGCCCATGGCACCTTCCAACCGAGGAGCCAAGCGGATTCCCCACCACCACCTTCGGCTCCGCGGCTCCGCGCAGCCGTCGCGGGTCGCCTGGCGAAGGCCTCCTTCTGCTGTTCGATGACCTTCCCCCTGGTGGCCTCGGTGACCTGCTTCGCTTCCCGGTGATCCGAGGTGCCGGTGATGACGACAGGTGACAGGTGGGAATGCATAAAAGCATATAAAAGCGAGTGCATTCCATTTATATGGGTAGAAGAGGTCTGGAGAGTTTGGAGATCATTCATGTATACAAGGAAAAAGCAAGAATGCCCTGAAATGCCCTGAATCTACGTTCCAGAACCCGAGAACGATGTAGGGTCGTACTTGGATGCAAATACCTGATGAGAAGGACGTCTACTACATCTCCGAACACCTGCTGAGACGTGCAGCTCTGCGGATCCCGGGTAAGTCTGACCTTAGTTGATCCAGAACTACTGAGCAGCTTCACTGAAGTCCTCAAGTGACCAAACATGATGAAAGAGGCACTCGACTGAGGCACTCTAGAGGCATCATTGGTACAATGAACTCTACCCCCCCAAGGAAATGGCACAAGACTGACTGACATGACCCGGACTAGATACTGTATATATCCCTAAGGGTCCAGGACCATCCGAATCGGATGTCCTTTGACCCCCCGTTCGACCATTCTCTGGAAGTACTTTCACCTTCAAGACCATCCGAAGTACGGAGGTACCTGGACCCTATGGGACTATAATTGCACATGTAGGACTTTAGCCGTTCAAGACAAGAAAAGAGGGTCTAGGGTGGATGCAAGTCTTTTGAACATCGATGTTGAGAAGAGAGCTCCATGAACATCCAACTTGATGTACCACAGGATGAGATAGATTTCCCAGCAGTAGAGTTGGGCAATGACAACGTTCGAACAGCTGCACAAATGTGAATTGTTGATGAGCAAAGCAGCGTATGACATCTATGAATAGAATCCACTAGATCAGGCATTCCAAGTAGTGTGTCGTTCAAAGCAGCTTGGATTTACTTGAGAGAACACAGAACAACACAGAACGATGGATTTGCTTCAGGAACCGGGAAACAAATAAGCCAAAAAAATCCCCAGCTTGGGGGACTTGACCTTAGGGAGAAGAACACCTGAGATGCGCATGGCACCAGGCAGAGGTATGGCTGTCGGTCGCACTAGAAGGCCGACGGGGTGGAGCCATCCGCTGGATGGTCGTTCGCTACCTCCCCACCAAGGGCTTCACGCAGACCCCAGGACTGTCAAGAAAAATCACCTGAAAGACATTTCAACAGATTTCAATCAACATATAGATGGAAGGTCAACTCGAACAACATAGAATCATAAAACAACGTCTGGAGTCTGCAACATAAACCTGTTATAGAAGAGATTGAAGAGATTGAGATTGAAGGAGAAAGCTACAAGAAGACTTCCATAACAACTTTATAGCGACATAACCAAATCCAGGATGGTCGCACCACTTGCCATCCCTCACCTCACTCCACTCCTCCCCACCTGAGTCTCCAAGACCTCCGTCTGGGCGAGGGCGTGGGCCACCTGGACGCGTTGGAGGCGTGGAGGGTCACCAAAGGCCGGACGTGTGCGGTGCCGGCATGCCGACCTTGGCACTCCATGTAAAACCTCCAGCAGTTGGGTCACTCCAAGAAGCTGGTCTTTAAATCACTTCAAGAAGGGGAAGCACACATCAAGGCAACCAGTTTGGCTGCAACTTTAAGCACACATACTGTATGCATACTCTACATACTAACATGGACCCTACATTACGTTGATCCGTGGTTTCGACCATTTTCCTTCACATGCCAGTGGTTTAGGGGGTCCATGTTAATCTGCAGCATGGGCCGGTGAACGTGTGCGCTTGCGCTCAGCTGCTAGACGGCGCCGTGGTGCCGAATCAACAAAAGACGACTTCCCAGCAAAGAGAGTGTGCAATTCTACAACAGGTACCCAAGCTTGGAACTGTCATTGGAAGGGCTGTGACACTGAAACAAGGATGAGCCAAAGCCATGGGTCAGGGTCCATTTTTGCTTATATATATATATATACATTGGAATGGTTTGGGGAGTCAATGTAGGCATTGGGCATATATATATATGGTATACGTGAAGGCTCTCCGGAAAGGGAGTTTGGACCCACAGCCACATCAGGTACTGCCAAATCCTCTGGCGCTTGGAGGTCTTCACAAACGAAGTCATTGGTGTAAGAGGCGATGCCAAAAGAATACAAAACACACACTTGCCATAACTTGCCCACAAAGGCGGTGGAAACGGCGCTGGTGGCAACAGAGTATGAACATCAGACTTCCTGCTAAACATCTCAAACACCCATCTGTCGAAATGACCAGCTTGTCCCCCGCACTTCACAGTGGTCCTAGATGTTTATTTTTTCGCTCCAATGAAAAAAACAGCTAAAGAGTCTCACAAAAACTCAAAACTCTTCTTCGACTCCGCGAACATCCGCGAACACTGAAGCTGGAAACAACAAAGACGTACCAAACTGAAGCTGTTCTGTGCATGGTGTGGGAAGGCCTAGGACCTGCTAGGACCTAGGAGAAGGCAGTATAGAACATGTTTTCTTGATATGTCTTAAGTCGATGCCAGGTTCGTTGCAGGATGTCCAATACAGTTCGTAGAAGGATGTGGAAGGGATATATGATATCTGTTGCTTCAAATTCTTCTGATCTATATTCAGGAATTCACATCTATAACGTCTATACCCATCAGCCATGAGGTGATACACCACGGCGCTCCCCAGAAATGAACAACTCTGATCATTTGCTGGGCAGCTAATGCGATTCCTACCCTGGAAAACACACGAGCCTCTATTTTGGTCGAAGTCCACGTGCACAAGTCCAACAATTCAAACCTCCGTCAACATTGCAATCTAGTATCAATCAGTGCTAGCTGGCTAAGTCTTAAGTTTCACATAACAATTTAACATACTTTAACTATCGAACATGTTCTAACGACCCATGATGTTGGACTCGAATGTTCTCAACATCCAATGCCCGCTCCACGATGCAGCTCTACCTGGTTCTCAAAGCGGTCGCACTGCTCCTGGAGTTTCGTGTACGCGGCCAGCTGTAGGGCGAAATCCAACCCCCGCTTAGGAAGGTTCAGGATCGCATCTAGGCAGATTGTGTCCAAAATCATGTTTCTGAGTGTGAGCATGTGTGAACTAGCTATCCCCAACCTCAACGCAAACACGGCGGTGGACGACTTCTCGGGCGACTCATCAAAGTAAGGACATGAGGACCACATGGTGAGGCCTCTCCAAGACTCCAATTCAATCCCTTGACACCCTTGAAATGGTTTTCTTTTCCACTGACTTGTTGATCTAGTATGTGTCCTTTTGTTGGTGGTTGTTGCAGCTTGAAGTTTTCTTCGTGCGTGTCCTTACCCCCACCACATCAAAGTGCCATACCTGTGTGTCCTTACCCAACCACGCAAAAAAAAATCCGTTTTGGTCACCGAACCACGGCCGGAGCAGCGGGCCATGTGTCGGGCCACTGCCACCCGCAACAATCCAGTGACCACGAGTCGTCCTCGAGCTGAAAAAGCTCTGGCTGCAGTTGAGCGACCTGTCTGTCGGTCGAGTTGGTGTGGTGTTTCCTACATGCATCCAATGGGGATTATATGGTTGCATTTAAGAGTTCTCAACGAGAAAGGCAAACAAGTGCAACACAAATATTAGTTTCAATTATGGAAGCCAAAAGTATTATCGTCAATCATGGCAAATTGGTGATCCTTTCAATCTCTCGTTGCTTGAAGAAGCCTCTTTCTAACCATTACTCATCTTTGAAGATCTTGAGGCAAGGCTGAAGTTTCTGTCACAATAGGTGTTGTATAATATTGTACAATTTACTGTTACATATTAAAAATGAGTACAGTAGCCAAGTTATGCAAACATGTTTTAACTAAAAGTCTGAACATAAAACTGCATTAGATCCCTCATCCAAAATCCTCATGAGTGTGGCCCATGAGGAAAAGTGTCCGCATTTGGAAGACAGTTAGGAAGACAGTTAGCGGAGCATCACCAGCCCCTCACATGCCATTCTTCAGTTCTTTCATTGTGTTTTCTCCCTGCACGCTTTTTTCCTTCCCTAGGGCTCCTGGCCCACCTCCTGAGGTGACCGGTGGTTGGGGTGGGTGCCAGGGGGGGTCTAACCACCGAACCTGAGGATATGGGACAGGAGCCCTAGGGCTTATGCTATCACAACCACATCCAAAGTACCATGAGAAAGCTGAGGCTGAAGCTGAATACGATTGAGAAACGCCCTGAGCATGGCCCTAGCGGCACGGGAACATGCGTGGTAACACTGGTTGACGACGTATAGCTTCCACCAACGGATGTGTGCTCCTCGATGAAGATGAGGGTTCCGTACCCCTGGGCCATGATGGCAGATACAAGTACTGTGTGGCCGTTGGACTTGGTCATAAACTCCTCCCTTCCGAGCCCGGCCTCTTGGCCATCGGTGCAGTGAGGGATTTGAGTGGTCAAATATCCATCAATGATCAGTGTCAAAAAGACCACAGCTCAGCGAGCGGCTTTGAGCACGTGCATTCCAGTACACCTCTCTGCATTTCCAGGTCATTGTCAAATGACCAAGGAGTGAATCGGAAGCTCGAGCGTGTTCAATGAAAGACCTGCTGTGTCTGAGCTTCGATCCAACAAGTCGTCACAAGTAAGACATGTGGGATGCTGTAATCTTGACCTGAACGATAGACAGCGCTTCCATTTCTGGACAATGGAATAGAACAATGCCTTCGATGCGGAAGGCTCCCCTGCAGAGATGCAATGGGCCTGGTACAAAGTATAGATACCCCCCAATGTGCCCGGGGTAGTTCTCTTGCAGCCAATTGCTTGGGATCAGTTTCCCCAACTCTGCTGGTTTGCCCGTCTAGAGCTTGATTCAGCAGCTCTTTCAAGAGCATGTCTGTGTGTTTTTTCTGAATCCAAATCAGGGCCAACGTCAATAAACAATGATGGCGTGTACTTGTTTTACAATTAACAAACCCCGTTGCAAAAAATATTTCTATACAGTAAATGTCTTGTCAACTAATCTGATAATAATGTCTAATCAAACAAAAACAGGTTTCGTATTTCCATGGCATAACAAGGATATTGAAGAATATATGTTTTGTTTAGTGGCAAGCACATTGACATTAAATTCTTGGTATTGTAGCTTTTTTTAGGAACCCGGACCCAAGCAACAATCTAATATGCATTTTGCATGGCATGTCTGTCTGTCTGGGTCTGTCTGTGTCTGTCTCTGTCTGTCTGGTGCTTCCTTGAAGGCCCTAGCCTTCAAAACAACTTGGTGGCCCGAGAGGAACCATTGGTGTTCCAGAACATCGGTCGACCCCACGCTCGACCACGAGGGTAAGAGGGCAAACACACTTCGCACCCGAAAGTTGAGGTGTCCTTCGAAATCGAACGGAAAAAGACGAACCTGCAAACATTCGGAAAAAAACAACACACACAATCCCATAGGGTCCAGGTACCTCCTGAGGATGGTCCTGGATGGTCCTGGAACCTTAGGGAATATCACAATAAATAACATGAGACGGAATTTGTGAGGGTCCGCCTATGTGGGTCTTTCAAGATCTCACCCAGGGGAAGTTGTTAAGCTAAGGCAATGAACACATGGTGGCTTTCCCTAGGCCTCCAAGTACCTTCTGAGAAAGGTGTTTGGGGCGGGTTTGGAGGGTCCAAATACCTTCTGAGGAGGTACTTGGAGGTGTAGGGTTTTGGACCATAGCCACTCCTGGTGTTCGTGGAATAGTTCCCTACTACAACTTGCCATTGAGTGGTGTAAGTTGTTGTCTTAGGTGCCTTCATGGTTTTCATGGTTTCTCATCGGAATCCTGATGTTCATCGGAAGCCGTGCTGCCTGATTCCTCTCAAGGAGCCTCTGCTGGTGATGCTGTTTCAGCTGCTCCTGTAGCATGTGGGCGCACTCAGAAGAAAACCCACAAGCAAAGGAGCCCTAGTGAGGAGGTCACCAGTTCCAAGATGTTTCAAGGACCCAAACTGCGACCTGAAAAATGAGAGTTCCTGATCATGAAAAAAGATTGTGGGATCCATTAGGTGGTCATTCCTACTGCTTTTTTCTTGACAGGTCCTCGGAAAATCGACTGGGATTCAGGTGTTTCCTCCCAGGGAGTCGGGGCTCTGAACCTCCAAGTCTTCCAATTCAAACACATGGAGCTTGTGGCGAGCGGCCATCTTCCCGCCTCCGGAGGCGTGAAACGCTGCGGAGCCGAAGGGTTCCATGGTTCAATGGCTGTCCGCCTTCTTCACCGGTGCAAGCATGCTCCCAAGCATGTTCACCTTTTCACTCGGGTCGGACCGGCACCAAGCCGGACAGAAAGAATGCACTTCAGCGACACACAACGAGAAGTCGATAAGACCACGTGGCAAGGTTCTGGCTGCAGCGGAGCAATTCTGGCTGCAGCGCTTCAATTCTGCAGAATGCACCAACGGACGGGCACCCTGAAGCCTGTTCTTGCTTAGTGGGCTGCTCCCAATTCACCCCAAAAGCTTCTGCAGGTGATCCACTAAATTCCTGGGCGCCTATCATTCAATCATATTCAATCGGTCCATCGAGAACTCCCTTTTGAAGGCTCCAGCGGACGTCCTGTGCCCAAAGGAACTGTGAAAAAGATGGAATCCCTTTAGTCAAGCTAAAGATCCACAACAGCAATGCAGCAAGCACAGCCGATCCCGCACTGGCAATATATTTGTAAATGGGGAGACCTTCCAGTTTGGGCCAGGGGTCTCCCTATCAGAACACACACCCAAATGATGTCCTGGAAGAGATCTCCCTGTCCTCCCTGTCCCACATCAAACATCAGCACTCCTGGTGACCCGACTGCAAGAGCTCCATGTGGAAGCTCGTCCTATGCGTTCAAACACCGCTCCACGCACCGCTCCAAACGGTCGACGTCGCGGTCCTCGTCTCGAGTGCCGAGAGGGGCCACAGCGCCGAGTCTCGTGGCGTGTTCGCGACGGTGGTTGGTGTGGAATATCTCTACGACTAACCCCGGCTCCTGGCCCACCTCCGTTTCGCAGATTGGGCAGGGGTGGGTGCCAGGGGGGTCTAACCACCGAACCTGAGGATATGGGACAGGAGCCCTAAAGAACATTGAACCCCCCAAAATATGCCAGTTCCTTGGCTTCGTGTCTTGGGGCCCCCATCTTTCGTCTCAACCTTCACCACCCAATCTTTCCCAAAACGGCACGTCGATTCGACGGAACCCAATGCCACAACCCAAACGGCTTGACCAGCCGCTCCCCAACGACTCCATGGGGTTGACTGGCATATCGACAAGCTGGCACTGGGACTGGCATATATAGACCGATCAGTTGAGGTGGAAAGCGATTTCTCACTCTATTCCATGCCAGGAACCATGGGGAACCATCCGAAAAACCATCCGCATGCTTCAGGTTGGTTTCTCTCCGCACGCACTGGCTGGCGGGAAATACGAGAGAGGCACCAGCACCTGGATTCATGATGGGCTCCCACGGAAGGACCCCCAAAGGATGTGCAGAAAACACGCTTGATCCTTCAAACCCAAGCTGGAGAGTAGCGGTTGATCCATCAACAACCTGGAGAGTAACACATCTCAATATAGGGAGTGATGTTTAATCAACAATCTAAGTCTACATTGCTCCAAAGAAGTGTCCTCCAGTATTAGGGCATTAGGGCAACCAGGTGCTCACCTGGTCCCACCTGGTCGTGGCAAACCCGTCATTCAGAAGCGTGATTGGGCTCCAAAGGCCTCCTATATTCGAAGGTGGGGTGGGTGAGACAATCACACGCACGGTCTACCTTCTCCGCGTGTGCTTGGAGCTTCGAGAACTCCTCCACTCACACTTGCTAGAGATGAAGCATCAGCTGCCGCCCAGCCTTGCTGCTGACTGTTCCAGCTGGTGCATGGACTGCTGCAGCAATGTCCTGCAGCAATTTCCGCGAGGCATGAGACCATGTGGTGCCAAGCTCAAATGATCCCGACCGTGGTATGGGGAATTTCTTTGGTAACCTACAGAGTATTAGGGTTTATCTTGGGTACTAATCTTGGGGTATATCATCCTGGTACCAGTAAGAGTGGATGATGATGGTTAGCTGCTAGTAGGCGTGTGAGCATCTTATCATTCTTTTGGCCGACGGCTCTACAGGTCATGGGACACACCGGTTTTGATCAACCACGGAGCAACTTCGTCAAGCCACTTCTGAGCTCATGCACTGGGCTGGTAGAACCAAAGAAAAAGGGTCCCCAGCTACCACTCCTGCTGTGGGCTGTGGACTATTCCAAAAACAAACTAGACTTCACCACATCTTTTGGGTCATGGACTTGGAAAACATGCGGCTGGAGCTTGCAGATTCCCTTGGAAAAGACACATAATCTCGAAACAGCTGGTTGGATGATCCTGGTGGGTACAAAGTGAAGAGCTGCAGTCGACTCATCGATCCGCAGATTCTCTAACCGTCGATCCGCCCACTGAACCCGTGGACCAGTGCACCTGGGCCAATTACACATTTCTACCAGTCTAGGGACTCAATGGCCCTTGTATAGACACCCAAATAGAAGTAGATCAGCCAATCCTCACTCAACATGTGGACACCATTTCTATTTGGGGATCACTATAAGCTGATTGAATACCGTCTTGCATGACCGGAGACCGTTCTACGACGACCTTTTAGCATCGAAGCTTCGAACAGCCAAGGCGCTGCATCTGCGCATGCTGTTTGGAGCGCTCCTGTGGTGAGGATGGAGGACATCAATCCAATCCTTTCAACACGACGTGTATGCAATGAATATCTACATTAGACCCATATGACCACCCCTGTTGGCAAATATGCCGCACAGGGATTGTCAAGGAATTAGACCCGTGGAGGTGCTGAAGGAAGGAATTGGCAACAAACAATATCACAATTTGATGCGACTACGATCGACTATATATATATATTAATATATATATATTATATAATCACGTGACTACATCTCCCACAAACTTTGCAGAAAATGCAACAAATTTCATCAAAAAACAATGAGAAGGTTCCCACCCTGGAATGCCAGTTGTCTCTACAGCGCCAGTCAAGTAACAGTGGGCCTCGATAACTGTAGATTTTGGATGGCCAAAACCAGGTGAAAGATTTTAGCCATTCTAAGGATTGCAAAGTTCCCCAACTAGCAGGATTAAAAAAACAAAACTTATACGTTTTCCAAAAGAAGTGTACTTGGGGGATCACTGCACCTTTTCTTTTGGATCCACTTTCAACTGAGGCCCAGCTACCAGACTTCATCCCATATTCATCCCATGAAAGCATATCAAGGTGCCATCACTTCCCGTGGGTATTTGGGAAACCAACTTTCACAGGAACAAACCAAAACCCCATACGGAGGACATGGATATTTTGGGACATGGTTCACAGAGATGTCAATGCAAAACCCATGTCCTCCATGGTCTGCTCCAAGGCCACTCGTTCCAGCACCATCTTCTCCACCGTGGAAGTGTCCTCCTGGGCACAGATTGTGGGCACGTTGGTAGATGGTGCAGGTGGCTTGCAACAGTGTCCGGCCCAGTAACCCACAGTGAGAAGCAAACCCACCATCTGGGTCGAGACTCAAACTAACCCAAAGTATTGACCAGGCAGAGAAAACAACACAGTCGATGCACTCCAAATAGAATCAAATCAGTAGTGTTGTGTTCGGCTTTATTGTAGGAACATATGTTGCTATTTGTTGCCAAACAACAGCTACTAGAAGTTTTCTCCTTCCCTGTCAAACATTTTGTGGTGACAGAGTCAGCTGTCACCGCCTCAGATTCAAACGCCTAGAAAAATGAACTGAGCAGCATCTCCATTGCGTCTTGGACAAATGGTTTGGGACTCAAGCGGAGCTTGTCAATGAACTTGCTGGTCGCAACAATCAAACGATAAAGCCGCGTGGGTCCACATCTGTTTTGTCGTCCAAACACTGCAACTTGTCGTTCTCCACCACGAAGAGGGCATGTGGTGCACCAGGGACATACGTCCAACGCGCCTCCATCTTTTCAGGTTGTTCCGTGACGACAAGTTCGTCATACTTTCGCATGCCACAAGCATGTTTCTTGTCACCGTTTTGCCCTGCCAAAGCACGGCATCTTACTTGAGGCGATCAAGGCACTTGGCATGAGTCATGTCGCCAGTGTCAGATACCACAATTTTCAGGCGGTCGCCAAACACAACGACTATGTCACATGCGCACTCAAGAGCCCTTGCATGCCCTTGCGCTCTGCTGACGCCAGACGCCACCTTCATCACAGCATCTGACAGCCGGAGCAAGACCTGAATGGTGACTGTCAACATTGCCTCAAACAATGCCTCAGCCCGGTCATTGTCACTTGCCACGGTCGCCTCGTCCATTGCCAGTCACCATGCGGCAAGTATCAAATGTCCGCGCAACAGCTTCAAACTAGCCGGATGCCACCACTGGGAGAGAGTTGGGCACTTGACAGCTGTCTCAAGCGTCACAGGCAACAAGAGTGTCCTACAAGAGTGACCTACAAGAGGTCTCCCAATAGCAGTGGACGATGTGGCCCTTTGGAAGACAACGCCATGGTTTCAGACATAAATGGATGTTCTGTTCCACCATCTTCCACCATCTGGCCCAAACATGACCGATGTGACTGGCAGCGACTTGCATATTTGTTCCACCCAAATGCTCCGTTTTCGTCCACCGCCCGGTCCTCCCGGTCGCTTCGACCCCTGACCGGTCCGGCTTCGGTGGATCTCCGGTGGTCGGTGGTTTGGGGAGAGCGTGGACGTGGAAGGGCACCATGATCCCCAGACACGACTCATGGGACTGCCATATAGGACGGACTGCCGATCAGTTGGAGTGGTATTGGGGGGGGTCAATTGATCGGCAGTCCTATGACAAACATGGGTCGTGTCTGGGTGATATTGGAAGGTGTTCGGATTCCACGAGCAATCCGAAACATGCACAAGTCTTTCTCACGTAGCTCGCGCCTTGAGCTGATGCTGTGCATCGGACAACTGGGCTTGGGCATCTTCGCAGGCCTGGGGAAGGCTGACGACTTGCGGCAAGATTTGGCATATAAAACCTGGACCCGACTGACCCAGCACCGTAAAGAACATGGGGCGTCTGACCCGAACCAAAAACAGGTACGGGCTCCCATGTTCCGAGGGTGCGAGTTGCGGGTCGACTCCAGGTTCCGTTTCCTTGGGAACTGTCCGCGCCGCTTTCCGCGCCGCTTTCTGAACCGGTGGCGCGAGAAAATGACACGGTGCGCTGGTACCATGGACCAAGCAACAGAGGTGGGTTGAAGAACCCAGAGATAGACTATCCCAGTTGGGTACCCCAGGTGACAGGTCCTAGTTCAGGTCACTGGCTACCTCTCTTGGAAACCCAAAGGATGGCACTGAACGGCATGGCCTTAGCCATGGCCTCCATGACCTCCCTGCAACGTCCTCATGGTGGTTACGTGGAGAACGCATGGCCCTCGATTTCGGATGAGCATGTTCCAAATACCAAGCAGCGAAGCGGGTGGTTTTCACTCACTCCACTTCCATGATCAGTTCAAGTGTAATTGGGTTTGTGGGCGGTGTTTGTTGAGCGCTGTTCAGGACGTCGTCGTGAAACGGGGAGATGGACAACCATGCAACACCGCCCAGCTCCAAGCCTCTTGAAGATTGAGACATTCGCCCTGCAAGCGTTCTCCTTAGCACGGACCACAAAGAACTCCCGCATCCATTGGCTTTCCTTTTTGTTGCGATCAATAATCACCACATTCCAGGCAGTTCGGAACAGCCAAGAGTTTGGGTTGATGGATGTCGTCGGACAGGTGCTAGATGCTGATAGTTTGGGTTGAAGGAGTTCCCTGAACGCCGAAGCATCCCCGGCTCCAATCGACCAGCCCTGGACCTGGAACTCCAGTCAACCTCGCGCCACGCTGTGACTGGTGACAGTCGACTTCGCACCTGAATACCATACCTGAGAAGGTAGGACGGTACCAGCCCAAACGAGATTCTGGATCCATCCCCTAAGCTTGAAAGGGTGAAGCTGCAAGGTTAGAGTCCAAGCCCCAAGCCACGCGGCCGCAGGGCGCGGGTGATCAAGCCTCCAGAGGGTCTGATCCATCAACCCAAGTTTCCTAGTTGAAACCCTAGGGATCCAAGTACCTTCTCAGGTACGGTGATTGGAGACACTCTTATGTAGGTTTGGAGGGTCCAAGTACCTTCTGAGAAGGTACTTGGATCCCTAGGGAAAGATTCAAGTATCAATCTCCCAACATCGTCCCATTTGTTCACGGTGAAACTCCAGGGTCCAGAAGTATCTCAACGTGTACCAAAAGAGCTCGTTCCTGCGGCCCGTTATCCGGAGAAGAACAACCAATGGCACAGGGTGTATTTGTCTCAATGAGAAACTATAAACCATAGGCCTCCAAGTACCTTCTCAGAAGGTGCCTGGGGTGGGTGCCAGGAGGGTCCAAATACCTTCTGAGGAGGTACTTGGAGGTGAGGGAAACAGTTAGGGGTCAATGTAGCCGTATTGTCCATGCTGGAGTGTCTGTGACAAAGAACAAGACATCCCCCCTGACCCCCGGAACCTATCTGCCAGGGCTCGCTCCCTTAAGTTTGCCTCGTTCTCTTCTTGAAGCTCCTCTCGCCACCGCAAATCGTCGCTTGGTCCGCCGGAACGAGTGATTCCCCAGAACCGTATGCTGAATCTCAGTATCTAAACCACAGCAACTGCCCTCTCAATGCACTCGGACCTGTCCGCACTTTTGACATGTTAGGTTACATGCATGCTTGGTGGGTTTGAAGTGTAAGTGAACATCCACTGAATTGAGTGGTCAAAAGGCTCCCGCTAGCAAGCAGCTGTTCGTGGCTCTGTTCAAAGTTCACGCAGGTACACTGAGGGTGCTTTTCCGGGACCGCCCAAATCCTAAACGGTGATGATTTGGATTGCACTGTTGGGTTGGGGACATAGCTTTGCTGCACCCTTGATCATTGTGCGCAAGTAGAAGTCTGGTCGATGGGTCATAAAGATCTCACCACAGACTCGCGTTCTGCGGGGAAAGATTGCACTGATTCCTTCACATCATTCCAATCACCTGATCCATAAAACCCGGTGGTACTATGAAGGCGTACGGTGTGCACAATGCCTCGCATGGTGCTCCCTCATTGAGGTGCCTGGGCAGCTACCGCGCAGTAGGATCCAGAACTTCATCCTGAATCCTCCCAAATCTGTGATCCTGGCACCCTGGCGTCCGCCCGTTTCTTCGTGCACCCTGGCGCGCTGGTTTCTTGATATCCGGCTCCCGGCTCAGTCCTTCAGCTGGTGCTCATGCTGTACAACCTGCCTTCGCATTTTTTGAGCAAAGCTCTTGCCAGGCATCCCGGTGCTGCTTCAGCAGCTCCAGTTGCGCCTCAGAAAGGGGAGATCGCCATGACGTTGTATCTTTGGTTGGAGGATCTTGATCAAGAACCGTCATCAACTGGCATGCACGGGATCTCTTTTCGGTGGGTTCATCGCGAGCCGTCAAACTACATATCAACTTGACACAGATTGTGGCAAACATGGGTTGGAACATACCCTCTGCTCATCTTTTCAAGGAAAATATTCCCTGGAAAATTCACCACCTGAAAACCACTGGTTTGTGGAGGAAGCTAGTCTCCCAAAGGTCCATTTTCAGGTTCCATGTCAATTTTCCAGGGTGTATCTCGTGCTTCTTCCCTCAACAACTTGGCCAATGGTAGGCCAGCAAAGGAGAATTCTGGCTCCCGCCCTGCGACCAGGAACACTTTTAGTTACATGTGTCCATCGTTTCTATGGGACAGTGTCCAATATATGTCTTCGATGATGGAGTCGAATGCATGCTAATGGGTCGCCGAATCGTCGCCGAATCTAGACACCAAAGACGACCTCCGAACCTTCGGATTGCACGGAATGACAGGTCAATGACCATGACTAACAAACCCTAAAAATTCCAGGACCATCCGAATCGGATGTCCTTTGACCCCCCTTCGACCATTCTCTGGAAGTACGTACTCACCTTCAAGACCATCCGAAGTACGGAGGAACCTGGACCCTATGGGAAAGTAACCAATTCCATCAGATTCACACATCTTGTCCGCCAGTGGCTCGCTCCATGAGTTCTCCAAGAGGAACCACGTGAATCCATGGGGCCCCTGGGCCACCCCTGGGCCACCCCGGGCCCCAATCGGGACCTGTAACCCGTTCAAAACCACGATATAGAGCGTTTCGACTGTCAGTTTCAAAGCGGTATGGAGGGTCTGAGAGATTTGAAGGGTCTAAGAGTCTATAGTATCTTCAGAGAAGGTACATAGTTGCACTGCAGTTGGTATTTCAAGGAGGCACGGTTCGCCCCCCCAAAACAACTCTACGGATCATCGGTTTAGGGACTATCAGACATTGGCATATACCTGGACCTGACTTCAAGTACCCAAGAAAATGGGACGTGACCCTATTTCCCTAGGAATCCAAGTGCCTTTTCAGAAGGTGTTTGGGTTGGGTTTGGAGGGTCCAGGTGCCTTCTGAGAAGGTACGACTGGAGCCACTTCTCACTTCTCCAGTTCGTGACCCTGTACAGGCCTGGGCCAGGTGACTTCAAACCAGCGCCTGTTCGTGACCTCGGTCCTCATGTACCAGATGCTACCTTCACATGTCAACTCCATTGACTCCAGATGCTTCCCGGACATCGGCCTCCAAGGAGGGACGTTGCTCCTGGGTCCAATGCTCCTGCCATCCGAGGAGGGAGGTTGCTTCATGAGTTCAGGTTTCGGAAGGGACTGTTGCTGTTGCTGCTGCTGCTGTTGTTGCTGGTGTTGTTGTTGTTGTTGTTTGTTTAAGTAAGTGTTTGAGACGTGTAGGATTCTTTTTTTTGCTGGATCATACACTCCTTCGCATACAGTATAATTACAAGTAAATCGTCGATTCAACCCTACAGTCCTACATGTGTTGCATTCACGTCAAACAGCAAGGCATGCCATGAGTCCTGTTTTGGTTCAAACACGACTCATGGGACTGGATGTTTGAACCATTGACCCGTACAACGGTAAATATGCAATGCAAAATCAAAAAAAAAACATCAATGGCCGTTTGGCCTCCAAGTACCTTCTCAGAAGGTGTTTGGGGTGGGTGCCAGGAGGGTTCAAATACCTTCTCAGGAGGTACTTGGAGGTGTAGGGTGGATGCTTGATGGTTTTTGGTCAAATACAGCCACCCCCCTGTTGTGCTGGCCATGTGGTTGTAATTGGTCAACATCCCATCTAGGTCGTGTCGATGGGTGATTGGAGCTTCCCACCGTCGGGCCCACGCGATGACCACATGTCTCGACCCAGGTGGCTGTTGTGTGCAGCTATACTTGTTCTTTTTGTCCTTCCAACATGCCATTAGACTTAAGCATTTATATCATTATACTAGTTAATTCATGTTAATTCTGATACATGCCCAAAGGATGCATGTAAGTATAAATACGACCTATTCACCACCAACAACCGCCATAGACATGCACCACCATGGATCGTCGATATTTACCGCTTCTCTGCTTTAAGGCTTCCAAATCCACGACAAACACTGCCGTGGCACACATCCCAAGCGAAAGCCACCTGCTTCAACAAGCCCACCAAAACCGTCACCAGCCCATCACCGTTGGAGCCCGCTTTCTCCTTCCTTAGGGTTCCAAATACCTTCCAAAAAGGTGTTTGAGGTGGGTTTGGAGGTGTCCAAATGGCTCTCTGCATCCCTCCGCTGTCCCAATGACGAGGGGGGGGTCTGGTTGGGTCTCCTCTTCCGAAGCAACTTTGGCTTCGTGCTCAGTCTTCGCCGCTTGGTTTCTTTGCACCTCCTGGTAAGGGGCGACGGAAGAGTGAGAAGGATGGACAAGAACACGGAGGACAATGTATATAGTTCTATTTATGAAAACTATAAGAATCAAGGACTCTCAAAGGTGTTTTGAGGGTCCAAAGCCCTGCTTGTTATGCAGGGTCAAAACCCTCCAGAAGTGGGTGAGTCCAATGATGGTTAGTAGGGTAGGATTGGATGGAAAAGATCAATGAAGTAGATCGGACCTTTAAACTTTAAGACCTTCTGATGAACCCTATATCCAGCTAGCAGCTAGCACCGGCTGAAGTCTGTCACTTTGAGCAGCGGCTTCTCTCACGCGGGTGTGGTCAAACGCTGGGTCGAAATCGTAGTAGATTGAACCGATTGAATCCAGGCCCGGAACCAAGCTCTTGAACGATCTTGTGCCTTGGTTCATGCACTCTGAGTGAAAGCAGAACCTGCTCCGCCCAACTCCGCGGAGCTTTAGTCGGGCGTTCTTCCGAAAAGGAAATGGGCTGGGAGCACCAAAGGTCTCTGGGCCAAACTGGTTGGCCAAACTGAAGAGCTGAGTCCCGTCTGGCATGTATGGTGTCTAAACTGAAACTGCCCACAAAACAAGCTGTCAGGGGCATGAGTCTAACAGAAAAGGTCATGGAGGCGCATTGTCACACGGACAGTTTGACATGCAACTCTGAGACGCAAGCGAACCACACCCATCACAACCAACCCCTTGTAAAACACACACAACAAACAAAAAGACACATCATATAGCAGTCAGTCTGCAAGTCTCGCCAAATCTCCACAAGTTCAGCCCCCCCCTCTGGTGGCACCTCTTCCAAGTCCTTCTTCCGCTGCTCCAGGCGTTGCTTCTTCCCCCGCAGCACCTCGACAAGGCCGGAAGAACGCCCGCAGCACCTCTGGTTCCCTCCGAAATGCCACGGGAGCCCCTGGGATCCCTGGGCAGAACACCATGGCTTGATCAAAACCAAAGAACCGTCGTAACAAGACGACGACGACGCTACGAACGTACCAAAAGGGCATCGCTACGAACGGAGCAAGAAACTACTAGTACCAGTAGTTCCTTGCATTTGTAGTAATGACTCGAAGCTACTAGTGTGTGTGTGTGTTTTTAAGATATACTATATTTTTAGAGTACACCAGGTCAACCGAACTCTGACAACATGGTCGAACGGAAGAGAGAAAAGCGGGTACTCCGTTCGACCGGGATGAAAAGCAGCTTCCGACTTTCGAACCTGGAATACACCGATAGCTAAGCGATCCACTATAGCACCTTCTTGGCTGAGTTTTGGGGTATGTCAGGACGGACTGCAAGAATCCCACTCATGCTGGACAGCAAACACAGAGTGGCCGAACACTGACATGAATGCTGGACATGGCTCAATGACAAAAATCACTTCAAAACAACTCCAATCTCCACAGCTTTTCCACATGGTGCAGGATTCGGTCGTCTCACTCTAGTTCTCCCATCGAATCGCCCCGCACCGGGCGCACAGGGCCAAACAGCCGGAACCGGAAGATGTTGACCGGCCCCATGGGCTGGAGACATGGGCTGCGTCCCAGAGCGAATCCTTACTCTCCACCGGATCCTTTTTAACGTTGAGAACATCTTCAATTTGCATTTTGGAGCTTCTTCAGCTTCTTCAGACCTGGTTTGGAGTCCCCAAGTATATATATATATATAACCGTTTAAAAGCCTAAGTGATCTCATAGCAGGGGATCAAGTTGAGTCAATTTGAAGAATCAGGGAGACCATGAAACGCCCAACAGTCCAGCTTCTCGCACCTGACAACGTTCCTGTAGCTCGACCAAGCGCTCCTGTGCCCTCGCCAGGCTGGCGCTCAACTGGGACCTCTCCTCCCGCACATGCCGGAAAATCCCAGGAAGGGTGGAGCAACATGGATGCTTTCTGGAGGGTGACAACATTGGGTGCTTTCAAATACCTTTAAACTCAGTGATTGGTTGGCAACAAACATAAGACATATGTTGTTATAGCTTAATGAAGCAACTGTCCATAACTGAAAAAAAAGACACCTAGTTTTGTGCATCTTTGTCAGTACTAGTAGACTCAGTTCATTCCAAAACTCTCAAACTTGAGCTTAAGGAGGGCCTAAGGGAGGGTCCATGGGTTCTTCCTGGTGTGGCAAAGCTCCTCCAGCTTTGACTTCATCAAAAGGAACTTCGAGAAACTTCAAATAAGAACATGGCAGAACCTATTCCTTAAGAGGTTTAAGAACCCAGAGATAGACTAGACTATCCCAGTTCGGTACCCCAAGGTCCGAGTTCAGGTCACTGGCTACCTCTCTTGGTATTCCTTAAGCATCCAGCTGCTACTCTTTGGCCGGTGGACGCCAGCACGCCAGCTACTCTTTGACCGACACAAACGGTGCGTGTGTCCTGCTGGATCCCCTGCCGCTGTATACATGGTTTAGTAGAGAACCCCTTGTCACTAACCACTCACTTGTCTTAGCAGGTCTAATGCTTTGGCCTGGCGCACTTTGGCTAACCAAAAGAGCTGTTGGTCCCAAGGCGTAGCAGCTTCGCAGCCCTGGAAGGCTGTGCCACCAAACCATTTAAGCTAGTGTACAACACATTCAACTGCCGCCATGCAGCAAATTCTATTGCACCGTGACTCTTTACAATTTGATGATATTTGATGTCTTCAAATGCTCCAACATTCCTATATCACTATCACTATCACCTGTTTTCCCCCAAATGTAATGTTGGATCACGATTAGTAAAGGGGACTTCTATAATGCTAAATTATTCAGACCCCCCTGTTTGAAAAATGGTACCTCTATAATGTTTTTTTTTTGGGCCCTAAATTTTTAAATTGGAAACCCAATTAATGAGGGTTTGAATTCCTTCTGAACCCTGTCCACCTGCACTCCCCCCCCTTCCTTCTGAACCCAATTAAACCCTTTATAAAACATTGCTCCTAAACAAATTTTCAAG